ATCTAAAAAAATAAAATAAAAAGTATATAATGGAGACGACAAAACCGAACATTATAAGGTGAACAAGCAACCCAATATACAAGTAACTAAATTTGTTCTCATAAGTGTTGTATGCAAATGTAAATCAATAAGTAAACAACAGTCCAATCAAGAATATTAGTTTCAAATTAAAATTACATTTCATGTGTCTGTGATTTATGAAATGCACTGTAACGATAATTTTACAGATAACGGTTTTATATACAGGGTGCTTCAGCTAAAACTCCCCAGGCCGATTACTCGGAAACTCAGAAATATATTGAATTTCTGTAAATGCCAATAAATAGATACTCCTAATGACTATATATTGAAGTTCAAATAACGTGCTTGCCGATTACGGTATCAGCGTCGCGACGCAGAGAAAAAATTTTTAGGTGACAGGAAGTTTGAAAATATATAATTCTAGTAGTACATTCAATTCTAAGGCTTTTTTGTCTTACGCACATTTTCATTTAAATAAGTAGTTTTAAATTATAACAAATTTTAATGTCAAACGCCCATAATTTTTATAATCGCATTGAAACAAATTAACATAAGTTGACTTTTCTTACAATTTGCCAAGTGTCAACAATCTGTCACTGCAATACAAAGAAAATTATTTTAATCTAAAGGCAATATTATGGTTCAACACAATAATTCCGAAAAACTGGATATGATTATTATTTATGGTGAATGTGGCAGAAACTCAAGAGAGGCTGCAAGGCTTTACAGGCGACGTTACCCAGATCGAAGTCAACCAGATCATAAAACGTTTTTAAATTTAAAGAAAAATTTGCTACAATATGGAAGCTTCGATAAAGGCAAGTGTGAACGTGTACGAAGAATTAGAAATAATCGTAATACGGCGGAAGTTCTACAGTGTATTGAAAACAATCCTCATATTTCAATAAGAAGTGTTGAAGAGGCCATTGACATTTCATTTTCCTCTTGTCAAAGAATTCTTTCTGATAACAAATTTCATCCGTATAAAGGCATCTTGTTCATCATTTGTGTACTGAAGATTCACAAAGAAGATTAGATTTTATCTCCCGCTTATCAATCTGTATGCGCAAGATAATATATTACTACGAAATATTTTATGGAGCGATGAAAGTAGTTTTCACAATAATGGTATGGTAAATAGACATAATTGCCATTATTGGTCAGATGATAATCCAAAATGGACCAGAATAACCCATAGCCAAAATGTTCTTGGTATCAATGTGTGGTGTGGCATTTTCATTGGACATTTAATAGGACCATATTTATATGACGGTACATTAAATAGTCAGCGATACCTGATTTCCTGCGTGCTTTCAGCATTATAAGAGGATGTTCCTATCAATGTGCGGCTTAATATGTGGTTTCAACAAGACGGTGCACACTGCGAGAATTGGTTCGAATTTTTCGGCACTGTTTTTTACACAAAAATGGATAGGAGCAAATGGACCACTTCGTTGGCCTGCTCGGTCACTTGATTTATCCCCACCTGATTCTTTCTTGTGGGGTTACTTAAAAAATACGGTTTATGAGGAATCAATACAAGACATGGCTGATTTGTAAAATAAAATTTACGCCAGTTGTGCAGCAATTAGCCGAAACACTTTATTAGCTGCCTGTGAATCAGCACTTAGACGTCGTTATGACATATGCATTTATCAAAACGGGGGAATTTTCGAAAATTTGCTTTAGTTTTATTTCTTTTAAAATCATAAAATTAGGCCTTGTGTTTATGTTTTCAGGAATAAATGTTAAGAAAACATAGTTATTTTATCATTTTAGTGTTGTATTAGTATTATTAATGGTAACAATAACAATATTATAAGAAATTCTATTCAATGCAATTATAAAAATTATGGGCGTTTGACATTAAAATTTGTTATAATTTAAAAACTACTTATTTAAATGAAAATGTGCGTAAGACAAAAAAGCCTTAGAATTGAATGTACTAGTAGAATCATACATTTTCAAACTTCCTGTCACCTAAAAATTTTATCTCGGCGTCGCGACGCTCATACCGTAATCGGCAAGCACGTCTTTTTGAACTTCAATATATAGTCATTAGGAGTATCTATTTATTGGCGTTTACAGAAATTCAATATCTTTCTTAGTCTCCGAGTAATCGGCCTGGGGAGTTTTAGCTGAATCACCCTGTATGTAATTTTACCTTGAAACTAGTTGTACCAAATCATAATAAAGATTGAAACATTTAAACAGTTGGATACTCTGTTTATGAATTACTAATTTATTTTTACAATATTTATGAGCAAAAATTCAGTTACGTGTATCACAGAAATCACGTAAAAGCTGTTAAATAAAATATTTATTTTGCCGATTTGATAGCACTAACAATATTATTCGTAAAATTTACTGTTTGATATACCGAGCCATCAAAAGTGATTCACATGTTCAAAACTACTAGTTTAGTGTATTTTTGGGGCAATTAAACCTCAATTGGTTTACCACCAATTTTATTTACAACGGTACTTCTGCGTCAAACAAATTCAAGTATTTCGGAATTGGTTCCATAACAATAAACGCAATAATTATGTTTCAGTTCTGGTAAAACCACAGGACGAGTGAGTAATACATGGAGGATATAAATAATTACTTTGTTTTAATTGAACATTGTATAAAAAATAAACACTTACCATTTTATTAAAAACAATAAAGCATAATTTAATTTGTATTAATATAAATAAAAATTTACTCAGCTGAGACAGGAAATAAATATTTTAAACAAATAAAAGAAAATTATAATAAAACGAAACCTACGACACTGGTAAATCGTCAACTGCTATTTTAGTAACACAAAGCTGATGGCCGGTGGAAGATATTTTTGAAAATAAGAGGATCTTATGTCACCATCAGCCACTTTTGATGGCCCGGAATTTCCAATGGCCAATGAAATAATAACGCACCTACACGAAAAAGTAAAATCACTTTTTTATAGTCGTAACTTAAGACTTAAGACATTATTATATTATTTTGAATATTAAGTGAAATGCACAAAATATTTAATATATGATGACAGCATCATAGAATAAAAATAGGTTTAACATGTCTGCTGATAGGTAAGTTTAAGCATAAAAAAAATTGTTATAAACATTTTATGGTTTTTCAACGCGGTGTCATTATTGTATCCGGTCGGTTACCAATGCACAGTAATTTGGCCAACTAGAGATCTACAACAATTTTTTTAGGCACGGTAAAACTGTATAATCTTGATATATTACCGAAAAGATACAGTAGAAATAAAACTGAAACAAAAACTGGCCGCTACATTTCAGCCGGTACCTGCACAAAGATCGTATAATTATGTGGGTATCGAGCCCCAGCAGTTTTGATTTCTACTATATCATTCATCTACTATATCATCTATAATACTTGTAGTTACTGCATTTCAAAATAGTTTTGACGTGCCTAAAAAATGTGTTGTAGTCTCCAGTAGACCAAATAGTAGGCCAAATTTCTGTCCATTGCTAACGCACCGAGTATAGACGTATTTCAACTTTTCCTTCATGTGTTGAAAGTCAGCTTCCATGATGTAGAAGATACAAAAATTTGTTTTTTCGACAATAAATCGATTGGTCTTCGACGTGCGATAAAAATAATTCTATGCAAAGTTATATTCTCCACAAAAAAAGGCTCTACGCATTTTTTAGATAGACCCTTACTTACTTTTACAGTAGCAGCCGCATGAAATTGGGCAATATTTTGATAAATGCAGAAAATATCGATTTTCAGGTACCAAATTCCACTTTTTACTTTTTGTAGTCATGTGAATATAAATCTATGTCTCTTATAACATGCACACTATAATAACAGCATATTGTTTTTCATTATAATTTATAATTAAGTGATAGTAATAATTATTAGTATTCGTAGTCTGAGATAGCTTCCATAATAGTGAAACAATCAATTTGAAGAGCGAAGCAGCCGTGATCGACAACACAAAGTAAAAAATAAGGGGAAGTGGAAATCACCCCTTCCCATCAACCTCGGCTGGAACATCGACCTAGCACGAATTCTCCATTCCAGGAAAACGTGTAATATCCAAAGAGATATTGAAATTATCAAATTACTACATTTTGTAATAGAAGAAATAAATTGGATTTGTAAAAGTATAAGATTGTAACAATGATATGAAGATGTATGCAGAATGTATTGATTTATATTTTTTACTAGTCACTACAACGAGTAAAAGTGGAACTCGAAAAGTGAAAATCAATATTTTCTACAGTTGTCAAAAATTACTTGATGGCCTATATTGTCAAAAATACATTTTTCTACAACCTTTAAGTACGGTTGCCACTTTCCTGCACGAATTTTATTTTTGAAAGCTGCACTTTCCCGCACTAGTGTTGGAAAGTAACATTTTCTCACACTAGTGCGGAAACATTAATATTTTCTAAATTATTTTTTACATCTAGTAAGGTAATCTTAGTTATAGTAAATATAACTGGGAATGGACATGACTTAGATCCATAAATTTATTCAGATGTACCTAGTGGTAATGACATATATTTAATATTTATATATTACTTTAAAATTATCTAAATTGTCCTAATTTATCAATGTTTGATTAATTAATTCAACTTTTTGTTAAAAAATATTTAATTTTTTACAGTCAGTTCAACTCTACGCACAGTTATGTACCATCTTCGTTCACTTCTTTGTCATCTTCAAATGTAACTATAAATAGTCAGCGTCAACTGACCCCGCTACACCTACTCTATTGAGGCAACAGTTGGCATCGGCGATAATTTGCAAAATGCCACGTTTACAATTAATATTACTAATAATAAGTAAAGTTTGTTCATTTATAATTATTATTTTAAATTTTTTTTTTTAATTAAACACCACAAGTTATACAACCCCTTGAAGGTACCTTGTGTGGGAGAAGGCTAAACATTTATAAACAATGGACACACACCCAATGTCCGAGTACGCTTGGATTAATTTCTGGTTATAAAAAATTCTAGCTCTTCGCCCGAGCATCGAACCCGGGATTCCTGGGTAAGAGGCAAGTGTCCTTACCACTCGACCACGAAGCCATTACTATTACTAATAAAAGTATAATTTTGATATTATTGTGTTTAGTTGAAATAAATATTTAGTTATATTCATTTTTGGTTTTTAATTTTATACAAGGTTACAGAAAAAAATCATGTTCCTACCTCATGTGGAAAGTGTCTTTTCCACACTCGATTATTTGTCTGAACTCGGCTCCGCGGTCGTTCGGGTCAACGGCAATCGCGTGCGGGATAGTATCACTTTCCGCACTAGTTAGGAAAATAGCTATTTGTGTATTAAGAGTGCAAAGTGATATATTATCGCTCTGAGCGAGAAGGACAAGGAGCGGGCTATTTCGCGAGAGCGGCAATGTCACATTGCGCTCGAATTACACACAGAATTTTTTCTACAACCGGTGTTTTTATAAAAATGTTTGGTAAAAATTAATAATTATTGATAAACTCAAATTTGACAGTCAGATTTCAAAATGTGAGCATCAATTTGCGCTACACATGTTTTTGTAGAAATGTTTCCTGCGGAGTGCACAAAATTTCACTAATTTCATCGATTTCCATTGAATTTTCACGTAAAGACATTTTTATTGTACGAGAACGACCATAAAATCACGCGCTGGTCACAAAATTGTCGACATCTGTCAATTACCCTCAATGCTTACTTTTGTGTCAAAAGTCGCAGATACACTAGACGTTTCTTTATTATGATTTCCATGGTAACTAAGCGTTTACTTTGTCGCTCGGTGAGCGACAAAGTAAAATAACGCTCGCTCCTCGGAAAAGTGCAACATTGCGCTTTCTTTTGGAAGCGCAAAGTTGCACTTTTCACTCGGTTGTAGAAAATAACTATAATTTCGAAAGTTACGCTTTTCTGCGTAAGGTTTTTCTGCACTGTGTGGAAAAGTAATTATATTTTTATTTGCATTTTCGAGCAAGTTAAAAATTACATTTTGAAAACATGTTAGTTAATATGCCAAAGTTTTTCTTTTATATTTTCCTGTTTTATACCAATTTAGCGAAACTAAAGCAATTTTTATTTACACTAGTCCTTTTGAAGTAGCCCCTATAACTTTAAAAATCAAACAATTATGTAGCCACGTCTTACAAACATTTTACCTTTCTCATTAATCATGTAGCCATAACTGTCTGATTTTGACTATTCTTAGTCACATAACAATTAACAAACGTCAAGTCAAACAGTAGCATCTTTTTAAAGTACAGCCTAGTTTTTTAATTAAAAAAAAAACATATTCAAATGAATAACTCTGACAAAGACCTACCAGAATATATTTTGGAAGAAGCAATGATCGCAAATTTCGGTTTATTGCCTGACAAATCTAGACACAGATATAAGGAGCACGCAGTGTTTACGAACTGGTGCTAAGTATACATCTGTTGCCGAGGGTTACCTGGAGAAATCTGCTAAACACAAAAAGGACATATCAAAAAAAAGTCTTGGAAATGAATATTCTATCAAATTCGTTGGAGTTCGACAGTGAGACATGATGAAATATACCCTCCTCCTCCAATCAATCTATCTTAACTGTACCCTCAAATAATCAGGTAGCATCTGCTATTAATTTGTGTGCCTCTAACTGTACATTTAATATAAACATTATTAATAACAAATAATATTAGATGATATATGTTTCTTTTTCATTAGAATAAATGTTCATATTATTTATTTCACGCTCGTAGAAAAAAATTTGTTCCCAACACATGCGAAAACTGTCTTTTCCGCACTCGACTGCTTTACCGAGCTCCGCTCGCGTCGTTCGATCAACGGCATTCACGTGCGGAAAAGTACCACTTTGCTTGAAAACTGTTGGACATATAAATTTATCTAGATGATAAAAATTATTTGTATTTCTTCATCAACAGATGGTTTATTAACCAATTTATCTATCAATTTACAAATTGAACTGGTGGATAACGAACTAAAGTAATTGAGTATGTAATACGTTTAGCAACGCTTCAAATTGTATTTAAATCAAAATGCATAACCTAAAAAAATTCTCATGTTGTTGACACAGAACACGAAAAGTTCACTATCTTTTATTTTATTTAGTGGCAGCAAGATCAAATTTTATTTTTTAATAGTTGTATTAATGTTTATATTTAAAGATGCTCACCTGCGCCCGCAGTCATAAGCGTAAAGAAAGTCGACTTGTTATTTACGGTGCATATCTTAGACATTGATGATGAATTAATTTGGCAACCTGGTTGTGTACGCGTCGCGTATTTATCGTGTGCACAAAGATCTTTACACTTTGCAACTTATATTTGTAAGTATACAGACAAATTTTGTGGCTCAATATATAACAGTATTTTGGTCCGGTGTCTTATATACAATGTAAAGCTGGTGTCGACACATATATCCTACTGAAAAGATATTTAAAATGTGTAGAACATCCACGAAATAAAAAAAGAAGTTTCCATATACCACATTTCTGTGTGACTTCTATGCATGGTGTGTGTAATATTTCACTAAATGTATTGAATATGAAACAGTTCCGAGTATTTTGAAAAAAATTATAAAATGAATGTTTTTATTCTGTTAATGTTAATGAATGTTAAATTCTAGTGAATCAAAAGCTATATCCAAGACTCGGAAGCATGCAACAATCCTGAGGAAGAAACGACGATACATGTCTCATAACAAATTTGACAGTATTCGAAATAAAAATTCCTCATTGTCATTAGAAGAGTCTTTAAATCTCATTCATAATATATGAAATAAATTACAAACTTTAAAAGAAGCCCCCCCGGTTTGCTAGTACGAAAGCCGTGTAATAACATTTTAAAAACAAATGTGGGATATGAAAAGTTATGTTTATGTTTATACGGTGTCAATGAGAGGAACATCCAGCAAGTGACTTGGAATGTTTCAAGTTTGAAAATATTATACTTGGGTAAATGTTGAAAGATTATTTTTGCTTTAAATGCTCACGAAAGATGTTTTTTAGCAGAAAACATGGAAACTGTGTTACTCATGCAAATATTCCCTGGTGCACAATCTCAGCCATTGAAGATGTGAAGAAATCAACTATAAGTATCTTTTTAATTGGAGCGAAAATATACTTGTGTTAGAAAGTCTCGGTCCACAAAACATTTTCTATGACATACAGGACACTGCTATAGTAACATAAATTTTTCTCCAGTACTAATTTTGCCATTAAAAACAATTTAAAAGTAAACCTTCTACATGAGTTTAAAAATACTGTTTTGCAGACACAAGGCAAGTGTACTTTATAATACTATTTTCATTTTTCGAATTGTATCCTCCTGATTCTGAATGTTTTTTAAATAAATTTCATTCGAGGCCATTTGCTTATGGCAATCTCTAAAACGGCTTGTCAAGCATATCTTTACTGAAATTTATTTAAACGGAAGTACACTTGTGGGTGCATAAATTAATCAAGAAATGAAATAAACTGGATTTTAGATTTCTTTGCAAAAAAAATTTGGGTTTGACTTTGGATTTTTCTAAATATTACAAGTAATTTTTAAGATTTTAAGAGAAACCTCACGTGTCTGCCCGACGAAGTATACAGTCCCTCACCAAATTATTAGACTCGTTTTATTTGAATTTTTTATTATTTCATATTACATGATGTGTGTGGACAATATGGTTGTATAACCGCACATGCCGACGTTGTTCATGACCATGAACTATCTAAGGCCTCAGTTATACTTCTAGGTGGCAGGCGACGGGTGACGGGTGATGGGTGATTGGCAGCAGGCGTCAGTTGATGAAGTGTTTATACTTTATTGGGGTGTAGATACGCATGCAGGAAGGCAAGAGGGCGATTTCAGTGTCAATTCAGATGGCGTTCAGAACGCGTCGTATGTTATTAATGTTAGATGGTGATGAGGTCCCAGCAAGAAGAAGGAGAAGGTACTGTATTCACCCGATACATGAACTACGTGGCAGACAGAATTTTTGTGGTTTGGATCCGCATCATTCCAAATTGCAGGTCTTGTCTGCACTTCACTTATTAGAACATCACGATACTCTCTAGAAATTACGTATTTTGACATTGCATATAAATTTTACACGTTGTCGCTTAAAACTGCGGGTGTTGTCACTCGAATCTGTAGCATTTCACAGATACGGGTGGCGGCCTGGCGATGTCACCGTGCTGTTTCCTGTCACCTGATCATACTATAAACGATATCATTTAAAACAATGCGCCCCAGCTACAAGTGACATCGCCTGTCGCCTATCACCCGTCACCCGCCGCCTGCCACCTAGAAGTATAACTGAGGCCTAAAGCCTTGAGTCAAATAATTTTTGAGATGTCAGTTATCAGCAGATATGTTCAAAGGATCCAATGAAAGAATTTGAAGTACTAAATACCAAATACTCAGTAAATTATTTGTTACTACAAATCCTTAGTAAGTTGCTGCAAAGCTAATTAATTCAAAATAGGTACGAAATACTGTTCAACCATACTTGAAGTAAGTTGCAAATACCACATATCAAAAATTTGAGGGTATTTGAAATAGTTTAAGCTACCATAAATAATATGAAGTATTTCAAGTATTTAAAAAAATCTGACATATTGTTGCTTCGTATTTATGAATTGATATATTTTTTTTATGTTTTTGTATTGTAACTGGAGGAAATCATTCCTTGAGTGTGAAAATTTTCCTTTTTGGTGAATTAATATTTTTTTAATCTCAATACTTTTTTACATCTAGTACTAAGAACATTGTTATTTAGATAATAATAATAACAGTATAAAATATAAGACACTATAGGTATTTATTATTATTATCATGTTAGGTTTGAAAGAATGCTATTGTAATACCCAATAATTATTTTATTGTTTATATTTCAAGTATTTAAAGTATTTTGAGTACTTTATGGTATCTTTTGCATGAACGGGAATAAAACAGTATTTTACTGCCTCAAAAGAATCACACATACGCTACAAAAATTTAACTTATTTCAAATTAAAATTAATATTAATAGAGTAATTTTCACAGTTCGTAATATTTGATAATTAGTAATATTTAGCAAT